AAACGCTCATATTTGCAAAATGGCGGTGGATAATGAACACAATGTAAATTCGTGCAAAATTTCTTTTGTGTGTCGAAGGCTAAAGGCTCAACTAATATTAYRAMCATATTTACCTGGATGAATTTATTGGAAAATGTGAAAAAATCAACTGTTTTTCTGAATTTCTTTTTGTTGTCGCAGAGATTTTATAAGACGTGTTCACAGCTCGAGTCAGGGATAATGGGATGCCCAACTTATTCCAGTGTGAGAGCGCCTCAAAATAAGCGTTTTTTATAACATTTTTCTTTCTCTGATTGCAGATCGCACCAAATAAGAATTTTTGGACATTTTAAATTAAAATACCCAACATTTATTACGATTGCAAATCGAAATATCGAAAGTCAGTTGTTTTAATATACCATAAAATCATACAAAAGGAATTAAGTAATTTCGCCATATATTAAAAGTCCAATATATAATAATTTGCATTCGTAATAAATGTTGGGAATCCCATTATCCCTGATAGAAACTGAGCTTAGTATGAGACGAGCCGATGACAGTTGGTTGCAGCTGTCAACCTATACTAGGGAAAAAAATATCGCTGGCCCGGCATTCCCCACCTTCTAAATGAATGAAATTCGCTATGCTTCTAAATGAGGACAATGTACACTTTTTTAAATATATATTTTTTTWAAATAAATATAATAATAAAAATAAAATAAATAAATATTTTTTTAGTTGTCATGCATTTTGATTATTTTAAATGCCCTTGAATTGGAATTTTAAATATCGTTCTTTGAATGTGAGAAAATTTGTCCATTGCACTCTTGCTTTAAACAAATAATTTTATATTAACGAGGTCTCCTTAACACATACATATGTCTTATGTGAAGCTATGTATACATATATAGATGACAAGATATGCCAGCCAATCTGAATACATGTATTTTTTTCTTTCTCTGATTGCATTTAAAGCATTAGCGCCATGAAATCTTTAAGCGCATTGACCCACTTATGTTTCAGAACAATAAAAAGCCTTGAAACAGCTTAGTACGTATCATTCTATTTCATAATATATAGAACTACGATTGAAATATATTTTTATCTAAATGAATGCAATTTTCTTACCTAGACCACCGGCCGCTGGAGCACCTATACTGCGACCGACTGGCAAACTTTGTAATATTACACAGTCACCATCTCTGATACCGAAATATTTTAGCGGTTTTTTGTCATCTAGCAATGGAGCACCATTGAAGAGGATAACTATCTGAGATATGGGTGTTCCAGACTCTACTTCACAAAATGCTTTGAAGTTTTCCAGCTCCAGTTCTTCGGAAACATCCAAGAAAAACACGCTATCCGTCAAGGTAGTTACCGTTATCTTCATATTTATATTTCTATGCTTTTTCTGGATGAACTTTATACTTTTCTTTACCAGTAACTTTCCTGCTTCTTTACTGTTCAACAACACAATGACTTTTCACGAATATATTTTACTGAAATGTTCCTTTTGTGATGTACTCTTAATATTTACTGAAAATCACTTTGCTGCTCATTTAATCTCTATGCATTCACAAACAATGAGAAGTAATGCGTTCTATATATGATTCGTCACCAAAAACAGGAGATTCTCGCTTTGATGTCGTTTTTTATATTTTTTCCAGAGTTATCGTGGTTTACCTCTATCTACATTCACTTTGTTTCTGTTTTTCGTCCGTTCGGCATCTTTATTTTATGTGTTGAGTTTATCGTGTTGTGCGTTTTAACTAAACTTTTCAACAATGGCGAAGCAAAGCACGACAACCACACAGACAAACCTTAATTCACAATAGAATATTTGAATTATTCTAAAATACTTACCTTTGTCCTACAAAAATTTAGTTGTAATAAAAAACAACACTATACTAGTCGTTCAAAATTTTAAAATGTTTTGGATCATATTTTTGTACGGTTATTTCAAAGCGTCATGAAATGATATTATTGATTCAGATACTTTTAAACCGAAAACCCATATATGGTACAACCTTCTTTTTAACCAGAATTTAACCGACTACATTTTCAATTACAAAAATTACTTCTCAACGCGGGGCCAAAATCGAATTTATCAACCCTCAGCTTTCCACGGCGTTTATTTAGGTATGCGCAATACAAAATCTTTGGGCGTAAGGAATTTCTGCCAGTAATTTGCCGATGCCACTTTTATTTAGGCACGGCAGTAAAATATTAAATGAATATGGGATATTCCCGTCATAGAATAAAAGGAAACAAATTTCCAGGACAGCCGGCTTTCAGTACCATGAAAAGGAAGACTTTATTTGGCCAGGGCCTGTGATTAGGTCAAGTTTGCGCAATACACTGCAAAATTTTTCTAATGAACAGTTTACTAGAAAATGCCGATGGCAAGTGTACCAATATTACGACTATGATGGAGTACAAGCTCAACTTGCAAAATTTAATTATATTTTACTCTGATACATTAATTACTTTTGACATGTTCTCATATATATCTGATATTAGTATATTATCAGTTGTATGAGTTGTACCAACTGATTGGATGAAAATCAAATTTTTTTGATATTTTGTCAAGTTGGTTGTGTTAGTTGGATAGTGTTTGGGTTGATCGTGCAATTTCAAACGATTTCGCCATTTTATTTCGGCTGCCAAAGAGAACGCGTCATTTATAATAAGTAAAAAAACAACTTCCGAACTCATATTTAAGCAACGAAGTGTATTTGAAGTGTTCAAAATGAAGTTGGCGTCTAAATTGTGTTAAAAGTTGTGTCGTATGTAGCGACAAGGGCAATTTCTAGCCCAACTCTATCAACCAGCTAATTGTTGCGTGTATGCCTTCCATTACTGTTATAAAAAGTCCTCCAACAATTGCGGAGCTAATTCGAGGGTTGGCATTACTGTCACAAAGTATTGGTCGTGTATTAATTGAGAACCTGATTTTTTCGCTTTCATAAATTGCTCTGTTTTCACAAAGTTCAGTACGAAACAAGACTAGAAAATTATAAATTTGTTCAAATAAGTGATATATATTAAAAATTTAATAAGTACAAGTAAGTTTCTGAAACTAATTGGTGAAAATAAAATTTTTCGTTTGGTCACTTAGTGGTTTTGTGTGTGTGTGTTACGTGATTGCGAAGTGTGATAAAGCAAGTGGTCGAGAAAGGAAGAAATGGAATAAAACAGAAGGCCAATTATTTAACGAAGCACTTTACTTTTGGGAAATAGAAAAATCTCCATTTATTAAACAATTTTGGTATATTTGGTTGTATTTTTTTAAATAAATATATTCAACTGCTCGTTAAAAACGTGCTGTATTTTCCAATAAATAATTTCTTACAATTCGGGTATCGCCGCCATTTTTGTGCACAGTTTCGCGTTTGAAAGCGAACATAGCCGATTGCTCTGCATATTTCATAAAAGAGAAAAGCAAATAATAAAGCAAGTTATTTATTTGCAAATTTTTACAGCAATACTCCGCCAGTGAATAATTCTTCAACGTGGAATCGATTAACGAATCTTAAAATTATAATGAGTGCTCAGCCTAGTCCCGCCTGCATGACTCCTTCAACCGAACAGGAAAGAGTAAGTACCAAGTAGTACATACATATGTATAACAGTCGTAAAATATTTTAAACGTACTAACATTAATTCTTTCAAAACATTTCCTTACTAAATATATAGCCAGTTGGTATGCATATATACGCACGTATAAACTTATATATAATACGGGTAAATATTTACAAACATAATTGTGTAAATACATAACATATAAATATGTATATGCATTTACCTTCAACCGATATTATTGATTGACTTTACTTATTTGACAGTTTCGTTACTTCTGCTGTTTGCACGTACTTCAATGGTTTGCGTCCATATTTTCTTAATTATATTCTATTTTACTTTATTCACGAAACGGGAATTTATGTTTGTAATAGTTAACTTTACTATGTATAACCATATATACATATATGTATGTATGCATATGACTTACATACATGATGAATTGTATTCTAAATAGTTAAAGTTTTCCATAACATTCAACCCATCCAACGCTATTTTAGCCGTTCTCTTAAGTTTAGATTTTGTTTTTGTAAATTTTTTGTTAAAAATGAAGAATGACATTCGAAAAATTTTGTATAATTTTTTTTTTTATAAATAGTTGAAATTTTGAACTTTGAAAGCAAATATCTCAAAAAACATAAGTCAGCAACTATATAGTATATATGTATATGCATATATGTATATTTTCTTGATCTGGAGAACCTTTTCTATCCGTATTCGAAATCGGGCCCAGATCCCAAAGATTTTAAAGTACAGTTAACTCCCAAATGTACAAAAAGGAAATTTAGAGGGAAGATCCATATTTTTGAAGTATAATGACCCTAAGCATTCTAAATACGAGGACAATCTCATTATTTTTTTTAATGACCGCTTAAACACTAAAAAGTCGTATCAAAAAATAAGTAGATGTATGATTACAATTGTTTAATGGAAATATTCGCGACAATAGAAGAACATTATTTATTTTTACTGCATTGAAGTTCTAATACCCTCTATTCATATGTACATACATATATGTGTGTATTTTCGCTAGTTGGCGCTGAGAGCGCGTAGTTCTAGTTTTATTCGTCGCATCGGGTCATACGATGGTTTCAACGTTTTCGTCCTGGTTCAGAGGTGGTCGAAGATGCGCCACGCTCCGGAAGGCCTGACGTCGAAAATTGCGATAAAATCGCTGAATTGGTCGAAAGAGACCGGCATAGTAGCAGCCGTCATAAAAAAAAAAATTTAAGAACAATTGAAAATTCAATAAAAATACTGTAAGACTTTTTTGACAATCTATTATATATGTATATAGTATATATGTACGTCTGCAAGTACCATATCTACGTAAATGAACACGATTTCTCAGTTGGCAGCTTAGTTGTTTGATGATATGCGGCAAGGCCGTACATTGGCCCACAACACATAGCTTGACATTCATATGGACATATATGTACAAACTATCGCGAGAACACAAAAAACCACTGAACCACCAAATTGCAATCAACAACGGAATTCATGCACACGCAATATTCTATACATATTTATGTGCAATAAATACATATGTATACATTTGTATATGGTGCATATCTACTACATACATATTACTATGTGCATGATAGCCGATAATAGTCTCTAAGCTCCTTTTGCCTAAGAGTAGGATTTTTAAATTTATCTTCCATCTTGCTTGGGAAGGGGCATATCCCACGGCTCTTAATACTCCAACTTAAGAGACATTGGGTAGCTTGATTGGAAATGAATAGTGTTATTTACTTATTTATCTAAAACCTGTGAGTTGTTGGATAAGACTTAAACCGGTTGGCACCCGGGATTATAATGGGCCTAAGGATGGTCTAGCACGGCCGGCTGTGGTCTGACGCTTACGTGCGTCTCTTTTCAACCAACTAAAGTGTTGGAATAAACCTTTTTGAGATATATATAGCCTCCCTTCAAATGGATGGATAGATCTTTATTCTACTCTGCCTTTAAAGGTTTATACTATTATAATAAGTTTTAGTATTTTACTTTTTTTATTTTTAGAAAAAGTATGAAATTGTTGAAGTGAAATATCCCAGAAATGTTTTGTGTAATCTTATTTGTTCCAAGTTCAAGGGCAACATTCTTCTTTCTCAATTATCTGTACACTATAGTGATTCGTATTTTTCCCCCCAAAACAATCAGGTATTGTCAAATGGAAATGTATACACGAAACTAGTGCGTCATCCTCATTTGAAAAATTTTCAAATATATAACTAATTCACATTTTCGCATCGTGAACTGACACCATTTGCTTTATTAAGTTTTAGTTCAACCTGGTTTATTATCGATGTAAAACTCAAATGTGGGAAAAACATTATAGAACTATTGCCAGCTAAATGTTTTTTGTATACAATCACTAACGGCAGAATAAGTGACGTCTTTGATTTTCAAAATCAAATTTGGTTGCAATTATTTTTGCATATAATCACTGCTTCGAAGTGCAGCTTCATTCAGAAGGGTGTGTATCCGACAGCAGAACAGAAAGACTTTGGTGCCTGGTTATAGCGGCATGACTGGAAACAGACTTTTCGGATTAAAGTGGAACGTGGTCTATTTAGTTTTACTAGTTTACTCTTGCAAGATTCATCTCACCGCAATGAAATGAGTTCTCTTTGAATACTGTCTTAATGGTCGCACGAGGTACCTTTTGCACTGTCCAGCTTTTGTAAGATTAAGGTTGTAGCTCTAGTAACATTCTATGCATTTATATGGTAAATTTGCTCATATATGTACATATTTTTGCATAATTTCGATACTCTTTAGTAGCTAATAAAAAATATTGAACAAAAGACAGGGGGATTCTCTTGCTCTTGCAAACTCCTTGCATGTTGCAAGAATTGCAGAATTTTCTTGATGCAACGGCACAACAACAAACACACGCAGAAAATTATTTGTAATGGCTGTAAAATATGTCAGACCAAAACCCATGTTTATTTTGACACGTAAAAAAATAATTGCAACTCTGTGCTAGCTGTCATTCTTTCTCTTTAAATTATAAAGATTTACAGTTTTTTTTTTTTTTGTTAAGAATGAATACAGAAGCCATGTACAATAGTCATTTACAATAAATTGACCGAATCAGCCGTTCATAAGTATATCACTAGATTCTGCAATGGGTGCTATCTTGCGCTTGTATGTTTCGGTATAGGATTTTTGCAATCTGCAATCTTGCAAGAGCAAGAGAATCCCCTTATTGTTTCTTGAACAAGCTTGATTGGTTTTATGAATGATTTAATGTAATTATCTGACTATGCCAATCTCCTCGTGCTTTTAACAAACGAGTTTAAATTGTGTATATCTTAAAAAAAAAGTTTAAATAAAAATTTACTATATGTACATATGTATGTTTTAACGTTGCAAATGTGACAAATGAAAGGCCTCCAACGAGATTTTGTTTACCAATCAAATTAAGCGTTTTTGTTATTATTTATCTTTTATATACATACATATGTACATACAATTAACTCAACTTGCCTAACATGCACAAATAAGCGTTTGTAAATGTACATACATACTTATATACATATGTATATTTTTGTATGTATGAGGGTGTAGTCTATCATGTAGGTAAATGGTTTCAGGTATAAATTGCGTTCTAAATGAATTTCGAGAAAACACAAAAACTGCTGTTTTTATCGCTTCAATAAATATGTGTTCAGCTCTTTTTTTTATAGATATGTAGTTGACGTTGATGATTGTACAAATTTACGTACATACATATGTATGTATGTACGCAATAAGAAAGGAAAAAATATGCAGTGAAGTATTGAATTATTTGTATTGAGAAAAATATATGTATTTACGCAACGATGACCAAAATTCTACATTATTTAATAGGATTTACATCTAAAGCAGTTTATCATCGATTACACAGTATATGGGCATGCTTTAATTACCCCTCAAGGAGTTTCTCCATCCGATAGCTGATCCTAAATTAGTTAAATTCATTATTATAAAGTATATTTCTTTTTAAAATGTTGTATAAAACTTACGAATCATCAACAACATTCCTTAAATCGCAATGAAAAAATTTATGTTACAACACACATACATATTACGCACAAAGTTTATATTCTTTCGTTTATTCTCTCTGGCTCTTCTATTGTGGATAATTCAAAATGCGTAACCAGTCGTCAAAATTACTTGAAGAAATAATGTATTTTTTTTTCTTGAGCAATTAATTGAGAGCTGGATACCAACCTTTATGTGGGAAAATACTGTTGAATTTATGCTTTGCACCAGGCAAATCAACCGCAGAAAGAAATGAGCATTGTAGAAACATACATGTAACAAAAGAATCATATGGTCGACAACAGCTGAGATCACCTGATCGAAATAGTTCATTTTTCGGTGTGTTAAGTTCCCGTGGAGGCTTATTTTCACATATATAAAATATACAATACTTAACAAAACTATTTGTGATAATTTAAACAAAAATAGATAAATTCTTCAAATATTTTTAATAAAATAGAATAGGTTTACCAATATTTTGATACAATAAATAAAATTTTAATCGAAACTAGATAAATTTAATCTTTATGAATTTGAATAATTGAAATATATTTAAAAATTTAACAAAAACGTATATGAAATAATGAATTGGATAGCATAACACGGCAACACACTCATGCCTTCTTTAATGCATTTGCCCATTTTAGTAGTAGAATATTTAGGAAGCTCTAACGAACTGCCTGGGCTTTTGCCCTGAGTTTTCCCTCATTCTATTGCATTCTTAATGTAATTTCAGTCATTCTAAAAGCTTTCGCCTGCGTACGTATGGGTGAAAATGTTAGGATTTGTTACTGGTAGGTTTATACAATGGAAATGAGCACCGAGGACAATTACGGCCTTAAAACGTTCCCACGACAGTCGGGTCTACGAAAACCGGAACGGACCCGGATTTTTATCCGGCCAAGGACTGTCAACTCGGCAGAATTCTGCCGTTACAACAACAACAACGGCCTTAAAACGCGAAAACTATGTGCAAAGTGGGTGCC